AATGCCATTTAAGACCAAGATGAGGAGCATCCGTTTTACTCAGAAGGTTGAGAATCTTTGGAGCACTCTATCCCACAGGGCTGTAGAAGCTCAGTCTTTGAGTGTACTTAAAGTAGCAGTTGAGATAATTTTGATTAGTAATGGTATACAGGATTAAGAGGATAGGTTGAGTACAACTGAAATTTTTGATCAGCTATGATCAAATTAAATGATGAAGGCAGACCAAATGGCTTATGCTGGTTTCTATGTTCCTCATAAACACGAGTCAAAAACACGAGTCTGGAAATAAGAAACCCATTATTTTAGAAATTAATTTATAGGTTTTAAAGTTCTGTAATGCTGGAGAACAAGTGACTAATAACAGGCTGTCTTCCACTATGCTAGGTACAACTCATGACAATGCCGAAAGTCAATAAGTATGGAAACATAGAAGATAGGAGCAGGAGGCGGCCATTTGGCCCTTCAAAGCCTGCTGTGCCATTCATCACGATCATGGCTGATCATCCAACTCAATAGCCTAATCCTGCTTTCTCCCCATAACCTTTGATCCCATCCACTCCACGTACTATATCTAGCCACCTCTTGAATACGCTCAATATTTTGGCATCAACTACTTCTTGTTGTAATAAATTCCACAGGCTCACTACTCCTTGGGTGAAGAAATGTCTCCTCATCTTTGTCCCAAATGGTCTACCCTGAATCCTCAGACCATGACCCCTGGTTCTAGACACACTCACCATCAGAAACATACCCCCTGTATCAATCCTGGCAGAATTTTATTAGTCTCTATGAGACCCCCCCTCATTCGTCTGAATTCCAGTGAAAACAATCCCAAACTTGTCAATCTCTTCTCATAAGTCTGTCCTGCCATCTCCGGAATCAGCCTGGTAAACCTTTGCTGCACTCCCTCGAGAACAAGAGCATCCTTCCTCAGACAAGGAGACCAGAACTGCACACAATATTTTAGGTGTGGCCTCACCAAGGCCCTGTATAACTCAAACAAAATATGATACCTTTAAGCATGATACTACCAAACTAAGTCATACGAGACACAGCATTATGGAACATATTGGAAGACACTTGGCCATCTAAATTGAAGAGCAAAAACAACTGATGTTTCAGTGATAGTTAGTTTGAATATTTTAAGATGTGTTGCAATTTTCATAATAAAAAGTGATGGATGAGGCAGCTATGTCTAAAACAGAAGCAACTTAGACATTTCCTGACTATCAAAGAAAGTAATCATAAAAATGGTTATTCACTGGAATAAGCTGCACATTACAAATTGGCAATCCAATAGAAAGCCTAGATAACTGGGACAATTTTTCAAGAATGGTTCTGGTCTCTACTTGGACTGAATTTTGTGTCACAGGCAATACTGATTTCAAGATTTTTCTTCTTCTAGATAATGTCCTGGGTCATCCAAACCCACGACCACTTCCACCTAGAAGGATAAGGGTATCAGACATATGGGAACACCACCACCTCCAAGTTCCCCTCCAAGCCACTCACCATTCTAAATTGGAAATATATCGCCGTTCCTTCACTGTTGCTGGGTCAAAATCCTGGAATTCCCTCCCCAATAGCATTGTGGGTCAACCCACAGCAGGAGGACTGCAGCAGTTCAAGGCGGCAGCTCACCACCACCTTCTCAAGGATAACTAGGGTCGGGCAAGAAATGCTGGCCAGCCAGCGACACCCACATCCCACAAATACAGAAAAAAATCTTAACTATAATGACATCAAAAAAATGATAAGATTAATTTTCTGCTATTCAGCATGATGTCATCACAATAATCTGTGGATCAGGATCATTCTGAGTGAAGATACTGCTAAGTCAGTGGGCAAAAAAAATTTGAAACATTTAGTCTGTGATAAAAAGCACAGATTGTGCACATTGGCAGGAAGAATAGAAACATTGAATATTATCTAAATGGAAAGAGACTGCAGATGGCCTATGCTTGTCAGAGTCAGAAAATGAGAAGCCATCTGATCAAAGCATTGAAGATTCTGTGGAGGCCAGACAAATAGATGCGGAGAAGTTCTTCTGGGGGGAAATCTAAAACTAAAAAGGCAGCAATTAAAAGTAAGAGGTGTAATTAGGAGGGATTTCTTCACCCAGAGGCTTGATAGTCTTTGAATTCTCTTCCCAGTGCAGGCTGAGCCATTGACTTATATTCCAGAGTGGCTTAGACATATATTGAATTAACAAGGAAATCCAAGTTGCAAGCAAGGCAGCAGGCAAATGGAGACTGTGGCCATTATCAGGTTAGCCTTGATTTTATTGAATAGTGGAGTAGGTTGGAGAAGTTGACTGACCTAATCCAGCTCTTATTACTTACGATCACATCGTAGCATAAACACTGGTGACAAAGAACTTTTTTTGCGGTAAGCTGTACTCTATAATACCCTGCCTGGAAAAAAAGATACAGTGGAAGCAGATTCAACAGCAAATTTCACAAATAATTGTTTATATTTTTGAAGTCAAAAGTCAGGCGATACCAGATTATAGTCCAACAGGTTTATCTGAAATCACAAGCTTTTGGCACGCTGCTCCTTTGTCAGGTGAAGTGGAGAGAAGTGCACAGCTACAGAATTTATAGGCGGAGATTGCAAGATAATTCCAGGTAATTAAGAATGCCAAAAGATAGTACAAATACTGTGGGTTGAGTGTCAACAGACTGAATAACAAGTCTTTGCAGGTGATCAAAAGTGTCAAACGGTGTGAGTAAAGTGTCAACAGCTGAACAGCAAGTGAAGGGATCACCTACAATCCAATTAATAAAGGCAGAGGGTTAATTACCAAAAATCAAAAAAAAAAATGGTGCTAGAGACAAACCAAATGGCTGGAATAACATGATAAGTATAAGAGTTGCATGAAAAGGGTCTAACTAAAGTAACAAGTCATCCAAAATTGTACAAATTAATTAAGGTACAGAGACCGTAACAAGTTATCGAGATGATGGTGTCAAAACGGAACAGTAAGGAAGATTTTACAAACACAAAAGAGTATGGTGGGGTTATGTGTAGTTTAACTTGAACCCATGATTGAGGCCATCCTCATTGATATGGAAATTAGTTTCTGCTCAGTGATTCTGCGTTGTTGTGCATCTTGAATGCTGCCTTGGGAGGATGCTTACCCAAACAGCGAAGGCTGAATGTCCTTGACTGCTGAAGCGTTCTCCGGCTGGGAGGAAACACTCCTGCTTGATGATTGTTGCGCAGTGTCCATTCATCTGTTGTCGTAGTATCTGCATGGTCTCATTGCCCCAAGGCATGGTATAGCATTCTTTCCTGCAGCATAGGAGGTAGACAAATTCTGCACCTGTGCGCTTCCCTCCACTTCATCTAATGAAGGAGCAGTGTTCTGAAAGCTTATGATTTCAAATAAACCTGTTGGACTATAGCCTGGTGTTGGGTGATTTCTGACTTTGTCCACCCCAGTCCAATACCAGCACCTCTACAAATTTTTGAAGGAAGAACCTTCACAGAGCTCTGGAGTGGGGCTAAATGAGATAGCTCTTTCAAAGGGTTACAGACATGGGCAAATTGGCCTCCTTCTATGGTGCATCATTCTATGAATCAAATACAAAGATAATCTGTTTCACAAAATGCTTATTTTTTTCCAAAATACATAGACCAACTGCAACAGAACAGTAAACTATGATTTAATGTGAAATCACATCAATACATTTACCAGAGTTCTGGTTTGTGTTTCCTGTCTTTAAATCAGTGAAAGAGCTAAGGTAATTGATGACTGGTTAACAATATTGAGGGACTACAGGTGGCGTTGTGCAGGGCTTGGGTCTTAATTACAGACTATTAGATAATTCCATTACACCTGGCTTATGGAATCAACAGCCCTGAATAATCAGAATTAGTGCAGGTAGTGTCCTTACATCACGGCCAGGAGGCCCCATATCAAGTCCCACCTGCACTTCATAGATGTTTCAGAAGATGTCTGAAGACAAACAGAATTAGCTCACTGGCAAGTCAGTTATTGCTGTTAACTGGTCCACTGGAGAATAGCTCTAATTCTTATCTGACCAAGGGTTTAATCTTCAGTTTGAACACAAAATTTTATGACTACATGAGCTTCCTTGGAGATTCGCACAAGTAGTATTACATACAGGATGCCTTTGATAATGATTGATTCAAACTCATCTACACTACTTTACACATCCCCTGACACACCACTGCATTCAAAATTAATGAAATTCATTCAAATACACAAAGGTGTTTCACCATACATTCATGTGAAATCTGTCAAACAGTACAAAGGAGTTGAAAAATGTTGGGACAATGAGGAAGAGGTTTTTTTAAATGCAAGTGGTAATTATGTGGAACATGCTGCGCTTGAGACACTAAAAATAGAACAATCTGATCTATGAATGACTGTCACGCAAATGACGCTTTATGATCCATTTTCTGGTGGACAGTTTAGGTTTTTTTATTGTTTAAATACTAAATTACTGTTGTGCTCTCCCAAAGCAATTTAACTTGAACTATATTTTTCAAGACTAATCACTGCAAAAACATGTTTGCTAAACCAGCTCTTCAGGGTCATCAGCCTTCACAAATCTAGTAAAGGTAATACGCTTGTGAGCGGAGGTTCATTTCTTGGAAACTTGTTAATGTGAGTTTGCCTGCTTCTTAGGAACTAACTCCAAAGTACAGCAAACTAAAAATAAAAGCAGTAAGCAGAAAAACCATGGCACCTGAACTGTGCTCCTGAGCCCATCTGCTTACTCACCTCAACCAGATCTCAGTCTCCAATTCCCACCAAATCCTCAGATTTTGCTGCTTGCATGAGTTTTCCCCCCCCCCCCCCGCCCCATCGAGAGAAAGTGTAAAGGAAACAAAGTCCAGATAACCAGAACAAAACTTTATACATGTCTAAATCAGAGCCCAGTTCTTAGACTGGCATAGATAATTTTGGCACTGATGTTATTTTAAAGACTTGCCAAAAGAGAAAGTGACTTTAAGAACAAAATAACTACCTGTGAGAGAAGATGCTCTTAGACAGATGAAGAAATGCCAGCTGTTGACAACAGCCACGCAGAAGTGCTGCGCACACCTGAAAAATACACAAAGTAGCTTAGCGACAGATTAAATAATTCACACATCCTCTAAGTATGAAACAATTAAACCAATCCTCATTTATAGAGGAACCAACTGAAGTTCAAAAGCAATTCATTAAGTATGAAACAATTTAGGTCATTCTGAAGACATGAAAAAGCTACACGAATGCATATTTGTTTTTCCTCAACCATTCGTAAGCATTGGTAGTACACTTAGCAAGAATAATTGCAAAGCTGATGTATCAATCATGGTAAAGCACGCACAATAACCTTAAAATGCACCAAAATGGTCCTACTACATAACTACCAACAGATTTGTTACCTGATCTTACACATCTTAAAATATTTTTTTCTGAATAGACTAACATATTGAAACATCAACTATAATTAGTCCACATGTTTTTCATGCCACAGGCATATGGAAATTTCATCCACTCCACATCACACCTTGCTGAACTTATAGTAACATAAAATTATATTATACAAGATGAACAGGAATATAATTTTTCAACATGTTTAAACATGAAGTATAAGATGCAATGTTTTGCATTCAACCGTACACAGTAACATTTCATCAATCCCCCAATTTTTGAAGGTACAGAAGCATGTAGGTTTGAATCAAGACAAAAGGTACTTAAATTAAGATTTCCCTTGTCTGATATTCATCCTAGCTCAAATGAATAGGTTCAATGCAATTATGAGTGGAGTTCAAAGTTGAAACCACAACCTCTGATCTGCTTTGATTTGTTGAAAACTAGTTTACAATTCAACACAAATAAAGTTCAAACATTTCAGGTGGTCTGAGAAACAGGATGTGCAATAAAAAAAAAAGTTCTTAATTGTCACTGAGAAGGGAGCCACCTTCTAGAGGTACTGCGGACCATTTGGTATAGTGGATCCATGCTGTTGTTAGGAGGGTAGTTCTAGGATTTTGAATCTGCAAGTGATGAAGCAGTGATACGGCTCCAACTAAGGGTTATGTGTAGCTTGGAAGGAAACTTGCAAGTGGTGTTCTAGTGCATTTACTGTCTTTTAGCTTGTAGGTGCGAAACAGCTGGTATAATTTCAAACAACATTAAGAGACATTGATAAGGCCCACCTGGGATGGAAGAAACTGGTTTTCTTCCAGCTGTTGAAATTTACAGAGGGTTGCAACATTGTAACAAATGGATGAGATAGTAATGCAAATACACCTTTTACAGACTGGTGAAGTCACAACTGATGAGTTTTCATTGTATATGCACAAGGCTGGAAGATTTTAATTCGGCAGTTTTCACCTTTGTATTGCCTCTCAGATAAAAATGAACTGTAGACAGTCTTTTTTACAATAGCATCCAATATATTCTTCTTCTCACAGAAGCTCCTGAACAAACACAGCTAGAAATAGAGATTCCAATATTATTTGCAAACAATTCATTACCATAAAAACTTCAAATTTTCATGGCTCCTAGCTAGCGGATCATTCCATTTGCTGATGGGTCTTCAACTGTTCTGATCTTCAACCTCCCTTCAATGCCTCTTTTGTAGCTTCCCTCTCTTGCCACCCTTTGCAGCACCCGCCCCAACTTGCTCCCACTGCCTCTTGCAGCTTCCCCTTTCTCTCCCATCTCAACCTCCTCCTCCCCCACCCTATTTGCAGCTCTCCCTCTCCCCGACACCCCCTCGCAGTTTCTCTTACCAAGACACCCTCACATCCTCTTTCTTTTCTATACCTATCCTTGCAGCCTCTTTCTTCCCCACCAACCCTTTCAGTCACCCAGCATACCCTTTCTAATAAGAACAAAGGTTAAGAAGTTTTAAATTCTAAGGGAATGATCAGAAAGTCTCATACTTAGTATTTACTCCTAATGTTTGTTTTAACCTGTCAAAATTACAGCAAACTATTTTAACAGCACCTTATGACCAGTACTCTTGATAAACCTGCAAAAATTGTACACACAAATGCCAAAATTCAGTATATTATCGTAATCTCTGCGATGTCCGAGTAGTCAGCTGAGGGTGCGAGCAAGAAGGCTCTCTGCTGGTAAATTTTATTTAAGGCAAAGTTGCATTATTATTTAAATGATTAATGCTGTAAATAAAGTATAACAGTGATGTGCATAACACCCACCTCCCCAGAATTTCTATTACTTAGTGTGTGTTTTTACAATGATTATGTGGACCTCTTGATTATCCAGAACATTTGATCAACCGGCGTACTCCTAATGCCATAGGAGCTGGTTAATAAAAAGTTTGCTGTACTTTGTTTAAGCCTTTCAAATTTAATGTAGGTTCAACCTGACTGTTTCCTCAAATTCCAAAACCTTACCTGAATGCATCAGAGCAGCCTGGTTTACAGCATCATAATCCTTAGAAACATTCGCTGGCAATTGAGTATAAATTTAAGTGCTTCTACATGTTAATTTACTTTGCTTGGGCACTATCCAGTTTTCATTCAATCAATTCATTTGTCTTGCTATTTTATCAGATGTCAAAGAACGCCTCCACATCCTTTTCCTGGTAGGGCTTGTACAAACTTAATCTAAAGTCCTGTAAGGAAATGCTTATGACTAGCACTTTTCCCATGACAACCTTCTTTGCCTTGCGATCTCTTATTCCAAATGCATCATTTTAAATTTAAATTGTTTTTCTTTCTGTGTCTCTCCCTCTTGATTCTCTAGTTCATGTCTTCCCAAATCCATTTCCATCTTTTTCATATCCCGCTCCATCTCAATCCGTAGACTGGGTGACCACTTTGCAGAACATCTACGTCCTGCTTGTAAAAAAGACCAAGCTTCCAGTTGCCTGCCACTTTAACACACCACCCTGTTCCCCAGAAAACATCTGTCTGAGGGTCTGAGGTTCTGAGGAAGGGTCACCGGACCAGAAACGTTAACTGTTTTCTCCTTCACAGACACTGCCAGGCCTGCTGAGCTTTTCCAGAAACTTTGTTTTTGTTCTGTGTTTTTATCTCTGTCTCTGGCTTGCTGCAATGTTCCAGTGAAGCTCAATGCAAGCTGGAAAAACACCACCTCATTTTCTGCTGGGGGACCCTGCAGTCCTCCGGACTCAATATCGAGTTCAATAACTTTAGGGCCTAAAGTCTCCCATGTCCTAGCCCCCTACCCCACACACCAGGCCTTGTTATCACATAGCCTGCCATTACACACTACCTATTGTTTGTCACTAACAGTCCCCATTAACAGCTATTCACTCTCCTAGCCAGATTGTTATCAACTCCTTTGTCTATCCAACTGCTCTTTTCTCTTCAGGCTCTATCCCTTATCCTATTGTTTACTCTCTACCCCAACCCCCTCCCTATTTTCAGCTTATAAACCGACAATTTCCCAGCTACCATCAGTTCTGAGGAAGGGTCACCAGACCCGAAACACTAACACTGATTTTTTCTTCACAGATGCTGCCAGACCTGCTGAGCTTCCAACAACTTCTGTTTTTGTTCCTGATTTACAGCATCTGCAGTTCTTCCAGTTTTTAATACAATTAGGCTAGTGCCTTCCAAATTCCATCTGCAGAAAGGCATCTGCAACTTCCAATGTCATTTTATTTCTATTGCAAAAGTTGGTGCCTGTCCCTTTATCCTCTATTACTTACACCAACACTGTACCCAAACTTATACCGTCTTTGTTCCAATTTATCCTGGAAGAGCCCCTAAACATTTTCACGACGTGTTGAGGTCATATACTGGAAATCAAGCGCTACAATTCCCAGCATTATAACAAACCTAAAGATTTAATGAAACTACTAACAGTCCTAATTTGCCCCTGACTGACTGCTACTCAAGATAAAAGCAAACCATACTAGATTTTATTTAGTTACGTGAAAAGTAGTTATTTATTCTAACACTCCCAAGTTAAACAAGAATGAAATAACAGGATTTCTCATTAACATGACTTGAAATTTACCCCTAAATATTCCCAACATACAAAAACAAACACAAATAATTGAGATAACAAGGTGTAGAGCTGGATGAACACAGCAGGCCAAGCAGCAGCAGAGGAGCAGGAAAGCTGATGTTTCGGGTCTAGACCCTTCTTCAGAAAGGTATTGAGTTCTATTTCAACAGTTCAAAATCCCAAAACTAAATGAGTTGGTTTCACATTCCTTTTGATTCTTCGATGATGTTTTGATATTATCCACACAGCAGTGATCGCTGCTTGTTTTGTTGGACTTACGGTCTCTTTCCTTTGGGTTTTTGGATTTTTCGATTTTTCTTTAGCAATTCAAAGTAGTTTTTCCTTGCTGTTTTCAGAGTTAATGAAGGCAAATTTTCATTGCAAATGAACAAAGAGATAGGTGTTGATGTTGCAAGCAGCTGGACCCCTCCGTATTCTGATGTTTTCATTCCCCCTCACAGAGTTTGTGCTAAACTACAGCCAAACTAATCAGAAGGATTTTACTATGCTGAACTCTCCTGAGCCCATAACCGGTGCCAATCAAAATCTGGACAGATGTGCCCTGAACACAAGGTGATGCCACTTTGTCTGGGCATGCTGTCTGCAAAACTGACATTGGAGCAAACTGGTGCATATGAGGCAAAGCTGCAAACATATCCTTGTATTTTCCCCCTTTTAATGCCAGGCCCAATTTTTTTCCCCATGTTCGGTTCACATTTCAAAAAAAATTATAATCTCTTATAGTCATAAGAGGAGGTAGGGTAGGGGCAGAGCCAGCTAGAACATGACTGGAATGTTTGAAATATTTTCATTGACCCCAAGCTGAACTGTATTGATTTAGGTAACATTTATCCAAGTGTGTCAAAGCAAATGTAATGCAGATGGTTTAAAAAAAATTGCAGAGACATTTATGAACTAAATGAGTGCGCAAAATCATGCTAGATGGAATTCAATGTCAGTAAGGTATGAGTTCACCCATTTTGGACAGAAAAGGATGGCTCCAGTAATTTTCAAATAGTGAAAATCCAGAAAAGAGATTTTGGAGTCCACATACAGACCACGGAAATACATTAGTCTGGGACATAAAATAAACAAGAAGGCTA